TTCTTGAGTTTATGAAGGTGTTGTGTTTATATCTTGTTAATGTTTGATGTACACATTCATTAGCTTGTTTTTGGAGGATTCCTTGCCTCAACGAGAGTTGGGTGATGAATCCAAGCCACCCCTTGCATAGACCAGATTTCTTCCTACGAAAATAGGGGAAATTGGGGGCTTTAGATGCTTTGTGTGCTTGATGGACTTGGAATTGATTCACCATGAAAGTGGGGCAATTCCTTGTTCTAATCCTTGTTTATTAATCATGAGAATGGTTCGTAGACTAGGATACCTTTGTGCATTCCCGGTTGACTCTTTGTTATTTGTTCTCCCTAATCCATATGTTGTTGAAGCATCTAGATGATAATGCTCCCTAACTTGAGTCCTATTCCTTTATTTTGTGTTTCCATCTTGTTCATATGTGCTTGGGTAATGGGGCAGGTTTGACTATTTATCGTGTTGGTCACGCGTCTGTACCATCTGTGTCTAAGTCATTAAAATTTTCTAATGTCCTGTTTGTTCCCGAATTATCCGTACCCCTGCTTTTGGTTCAGCGGTTTACTAATGAAAATAACTGCTTTTTTGAATTTCACAAGAATTGTTTTTTTGTGAAGGATTCCACAACTCAGGCAATACTGCTTAAGGGGCCCACCTCGGGTGGCCTGTATATATTCCCGGTGTCACAGTGTCATTGCGCCTACCTCACTTCCCGTACAACTCCCGCTGTGTGGCATCGAAGACTCGGCCATCCGCATGCAAACGTTCAGAGTCGTGTTTTACAAACCTGTCCAGTCGCAACAAATAAAGCCACTTCATTGGAATCGTGCAAGTCTTGCGATATGGGAAAATCATCTAGATTTCCTTTAGATAGGGTTCCTTTCAATAGTCAAAATGTGTTGGATTTGTTATATACCGACATTTGGGGGCATTCCCCTGTAATTTCTTCTAGTGGCTTTAGGTACTTTGTACTTTTGTAGACGACTTCTCCCGTTTTTGCTGGTTTTATCCCTTACGGGTGAAATCAGATATATATAAAACATTTGAGTCATTTCGCGTCATGGTAGAACGCCAATTCTCGCATTCTATCAAGTCCATTCAATCGGATCTAGGTGGGGAGTATCGCAAACTACATAACACTTTTGTTAATCTTTGTATAAGCCACCGACAATCATGTGCATATACGCACGAACAAAATGGGCAGCTAGAACGTAAAAATTGGCATATAGTCGAAACCGGATTGGCCCTACTGGCCGAAGGTTCAGTCCCATTACAATATTGGGACTATGCTTTTGAAAGGGCAACTTGCTTAATAAACTATCTACCCTCATCTGTCTTACAGTTCCAGAGTCCTTACAGCCTTCTACATAACGTGTCACCCCCATACATATTCCTCCGTGTGTTTGGGTGTCGCTGCTACCCTTATCTTTGGCCTTACAATCGGCACAAGATAGAGTATCGGTCGGCACCCTGCGTGTTCTTAGGTTACCCGTTGTCCTATAGGGGGTACAGATGCGTTGATTTAACATCTGGAAAGGTCTATATATGTCGCCATGTGCGCTTTGATGAACACATTTTTCCTTTTGCAGACATGGAGAAACAGGTTAACATCTCGGTATCACCTCCGGCACTACCGTGGGCGACCAGTCCTATCTTAACTCAGACTGTGTCTCAACCTGCGGCGGTGTCAATCGAGACTGTACCGGATCCATCGGCTAGTCCGGTGCCCTTAGCTCAAGAGGCACCACCACCATTGGCTATTAAAGGGCCTGTCAGGGCTCGTGCAGTCAGAGTTCGCAAAGCCCCAACTCGGGCTCGAGATCATGTAATGCGGCTTTGCCGTATGACTCGGGGTATGGGTGAAGAGTTTCATGCGTTAAGCGCGACCACTGATCCGACGTGCTATTCACAAGCCGTTGGGCATTCACAGTGGCGTGAAGCCATGGATCAGGATTTTAATGCACTCTTGCACAACAACACTTGGTCGTTGGTACCCGCTGAACCCCACATGAATGTGATTGGGTGTAAATGGGTGTTCAGGACCAAACGCACTGCTGATGGCTCGGTTGAACGCTACAAAGCCCGGCTTGTGGCCAAAGGCTTTTACCAGGTAGCCGGCGAGGACTTCTTCGACACTTCTAGTGCAGTTGTTAAACCGACTACTGTGCGCCTGTTATTTTCTCTTGCTGTTTCTCATAATTGGACACTGCGTCAACTGGATGTCCATAATGCCTTTCTCAATGGGCTTCTAGCTGAAACCGTCTACATGAAACAGCCTCCGGGTTATGAAGACCCGACACATCCAGATCATGTGTGTCATCTTCAGCGCTCCTTGTATGGGCTGAAACAGGCTCCTCGAGCTTGCTTCAAAAGGCTGCATGACTATTTGCTCTCTGCAGGATTTCTTCCGTCTGAAACAGATGTCTCCCTTTTTCATTACTCAATTGGTTCGTCACGAGTCTTTTTGTTGGTGTATGTAGATGATATTATCATGATGGGTAATGACGCAACGTTGATTGCCACTCTCTTTGGTCGCTTATCTGACACATTCAAAATCTGGGATCTCGGTGCTCCTGGGTTCTTTCTTGGCATAGAGACCGTACAGCTCGACTCTGGCATGATGCTCTCGCAATGTCGTTACATGAATGACATACTCGTCCGTGCCGGTATGACTGAGTGCAAGCCTCTTGCTACACCAGCTGCAGTAACTCAGGCTGTCTCACCGACTCGGGAGTCCTCTGACAATCCAACTCAATATCGTCGCATTGTTGGGGCGCTTCAGTACTTAACTATTACGAGGCCAGATCTGTCTTATGCTGTGAATCGACTGTGTCAATTCGTGCATTCTCCAACTGTTGATCATTGGGGTCTTTTAAAGTGGGTCCTACGATACATCAATGGGACTCTCACCTACGGTCTACGTCTGTCTGTTTCTGCCTCGACTGCTATTCATGCCTTTTCGGATTCTGATTGGGCCGGTTGTCCAGTTGACAGAAAGAGTACCAGTGGGTATGCTGTGTTTCTTGGGACTAATATGATCTCTTGGCTATCCAGGAAGCAGCACACTGTTGCTCGCTCCTCCACTGAGGCCGAGTACAAGGCGCTAGTAGATGTCTCAGCTGAGGTCACGTGGGTTATGTCACTGCTGCGTGAGTTGGGACTACATAATGGAGAGCCATCTACTCTATGGTGTTATAATCTCGGGCTACCTATTTGTGTGCTAACCCGGTCTTTCACGCCAGGACTAAGCATGTGGAAATCGACTATCACTTCGTTCGAGACAAGGTCACATCTGGAGATATGACAATCAACTTTTTATCGACTAAGGACCAGCTGGCAGATATTTTCACCAAGCCGCTACCTGGCCCCCGGTTCGCTGCTTTACGAGACAAGCTCAACGTGGTTATGCACCCTCCTTGTGCTTGAGGGGGATTGTTAGTCATGTTGTTATTACTATTATTATTATTCTTATTATTATTATTATTATTATTATTATTATTATTATTATTATTATTATTATTATTATTATTATTATTATTATTATTATTATTATTATTATTATTATTATTATTATTATTGTTATTCATGTTACATTAGAATAAGTCAATAGAGTACTGATGTGGCTAGCCTATTGTATAGGAGTAATTTACGTTAAACACATCTGCTTTAGTATTATGATTGTAATCCTTTCCAAACTGAATGAACAATTATCGGTCTCATCTCTTGAAGACTCAACTTTCACTTTAGACACTTCACAAAGCTCTCAACAAGGTTCTCTTTCCACACCCACTTCAAGAACACACCAAAACAACATAAAGATTTCACCTTTATAAAAAGATACCTTATAAAACACTAAAAACACAAGAGGAGCTTAGATCTTACCCTCCTAGATGCTCAAAAGTATGAAAGGTAGAATCTTGAAAGCAAACTTGAAAGATCTTGGTAGCCCTAGGTGTGGCTTGGAGAGAAAGCTAACTAGCTTTTAAAGAGAAGAGAGAGAGCTTATGATTTTTCTCTTGGAGAGTGTTTGAAGAAATGAAATGTGCCTTCCTAGGTTAGCTTGAACGACTATTGTCAAGGAAATGTCTTTTTTGCCCTTACTAAAATGAGAAAGTGTAAGGGAACAAGGAAACTCTTCACAAAGCTTTAGGTACAACACTTGACTTTGGGTTGACTAGCCAATTACTAGTCCCTGACTATTGAATTTTCAGGAATTTAAAGAATTAAATTACCAATTGAATTAGGATTAATTACTTAATTAATCACTTAATAGAATTCGGATTACGGGGTGTCACACATATGATCGATAAGAGCATTTGCGGCGCAAAGAGTGGATATCTCATTTACTGTCTTCACGATTGCATTTCGCTCCTCAAAAAAATTGGCCATCTAGGATTTTCTTTCCTCACTTTCACTCATTCATCTTCGATCTTTGATTTGTATATGCTCAAGAAAAATAGTAATTGTTACTTATATTGAACAGTTAAAAAGAAAGTCAAAAATGACTTATGAATCCGCTGTGCAACAACCTTCTGTTGATTTGATTAAACTTGATCGAAATATGTGCCATGGTAAAAGCACAAAGAACCAATAACACCTTTATTGAGGCTCGAACTCACAACCTCCCATATGGGAAACCACCCCGAGTGCTATCTGTGCACAAGGTGCTTTACATATTACTATTATATATGATTGGTTGTATTTGTGAATAGGGGTTTTTATAAAAAATTTGAATTGGCATCAAAGACCATATATGGCTTCTTAGATCCATATTGTATTTAACCAAAATTGAATACTATAGATGAACGGACAAGGTATATTAATTTCACGATGCAATATGGACATAAACAATGCTATTTAGCCCCATATGTTTTAAAGTAAGTTTTAATTATTTCAAATAAAATAACTTATATATCATATACTTCTATTATATATTATATTTACTTACAACTAATAAATTATTTATTTGTAGTGGGCATTGGATGTTGATGGCAATTTGTCCTCAAGCAAATGAAATCTATTGGTTTGATTCCATTGGAGGCGAACCACGTGATGACATTAAAGATATAGTTGAAATGTATGTGCACTTATAAGTATTAATAGTTATTATTAATGAAGTACGATGTCGTAAAATATTTATGTATACTTACCTCTCATAATTTTAGGTGTGTGAAATCAACAAGTTTGTTGAGTGGAAGAAAATCAACTCGTCCACCAAATTGGATTGAAGTTTTGGTAAGTATTTTATACATTTGTAAAACTACATATATTTTATTGTTTTTTTTATTAAATAAAAATTTAAATGTAATTTAATTCAAATGTAGTGTGCTCAACAAGTTGGAAGTACCGAATGTGGATATTATGTGATGAAATACATGCTTGAAATTCTTTCCAAAGAAACATGCAAAGGATTGAATAAGGCATGTAATATAATTTAATAAAATACCTTTCTCATTCTAATTTTAGAAATGCTAGCATACTAATTAGTTATTAATTATCAACTTTAATTTGTAGATCATTGAGAGAGTTGGTGGGTCAAGCTACAATCAACAAGAGATTGATCAAGTTAGAGATGGATGGGCCGAGTTCTTAATTGATGAATGGTTAAATTTATTGTAGTATGTGAACTAATATAATTGATCATAGCTTGATAATTTTAAATTGTATTATTAATTAGTATCAAATTGTGATATTTATTAATTTTATTAATTGTGAGATTATAAATATTAGATTCTACATATTTTGTTGTGGTTGTGATGCGATATTTGAGCATGTTTTGGGTATAAATTGATAAATAAATTTCATATTAAAAAAAACACATATAACGTCGACTATATGAAATAACCGACGTTGTATGTATATTAAAAATAAATAAATACATTACAACGTCAAGGTAAAGGCTTACGATCGCATGGAGTGGTCATTTTTGTGACATCACGAAATTTACCCTAATTCCAAACACAACTCCTACAAATATTTTTCTAAGTAGAAGACTAATCCCTTATTGAAAAGCCCAACTCTTCAATTTCTAATAATTCTAGCCTATTATTTAATCTAGCCCAATCTCATTATTAAAATAGCCTAGCCTATTAATTCCTTTGAGCCCAAATAATACTAAGTCTTACTTATACAAATATATATGAATGGACCCTAGACATGGACTTCCTTATATAAATAACTTTTGTATAGAATATATATTTAACTATCCTAGCCCAAGCCCACATAAATAATATTATGAATATATAAAACCCACCCACATACAAGCCCATAACTTTAGTCTTACAAACCTTTCACTATATACATATGAATACATATATACACTACACTTCATCCTTACAATATAACCTAGATAAGACTTACACATTTCCTCCCTCTCTACCCTAAACTCCCATGCCATTTCCTTCATCTCTTCATACCAAAATAGTCTTCATCTTCCAACTCAAGAAATAAGGTCAAGATTACACCTTTTCCATTTCACAAGGCTTAGGAGTTGTAAGATCAAGTCTTCTACATCTTTTCTAGTCTAAATTTCTTTGATTTCTCTAAATCCCTATTCTTTTATCACGTTGGTTTTGGGGTTTTTAAAGAAAACCAAGTGGATGGGGACATGCTAGATTGAGCTAGGAGGAGCTTGGTATGATTTGCTAGCTAAGAAGGTAACCCTATGTCCATGAAAACTATTTTAACTCCATATTGTGTATTTTTGATGTTCTTGATGAATATGAGCATGATCTTGCATTTATGCTTGTTTTAGAGCTTGTATGATAGGTGTATAGTTGAGTTGATGTGCCATTTCTTCTATTCCAATTCCAAGCTATATTTGTTGTTGGTTTGATTTTGGTTGAGTTTTGTTGAGTTTGGAGTTGATTCTTGCATTCTAGAAAGTTTCCCGAAACCCTTCTGTTTCCACAGTGATGCTGGTCACACGGGGGTAACCCACGGGCCCTGGCACACCTGCCGGTCCACCTGCATGAAGGCCACAAGGGTGAGTGGCAGGGGCTGAAGGACCCGCCACCACAGCCGTGTTGTTCCCACGGGGGAACATGGCGGGTCCTTTAACCCCCGCCGACACCCCCATTGGTTGTTGGTTGTTTTGCTTCCAGAGAATGTTTGTTGCCTTCTTGTGCACTTGCAAGTAGTCGTTGATGTTACGTAATGTAAGTATTTTTCCTAAATATAATATATTATAATATATTGTATTATTGGGTGGTTGTGGTGCACGTAGGAGATTAAGTCAATTGGTGACTTAATCTGTTAGGCAACTCAGGATATTCAGTTAAAGCTTTAACTGAATATCTGCCTACGTTGATGGCATGCAGGCTTCTAAGAAAAACAGTCCTCCCACAGCTCCCGTGTCCAGAATACACGCACCATCAGGTATTCGGGAGAGAAGTGGTAGACAAAACTGACGTTTATCCTGCAGGTTTACCATCCCGTGGCAATACCCAGTAACTATGGCAAGGGATGTTCAGATGATAACGAGTCAGTTGATGATTTTGCAAATCAATGTTCATTTTTTGTATATTTTTTTGGCATGTTGAAAAAAATTATTTTATGGGCACTCAGAATAATTATTTCATTTTGAATATGAACTTGTTGTTGGTTTATTGTGAACTTACAATTGCGGGTTTAATCTTTCGCTCGTGAGTGGTGATGCGAGTCAGGAGCAGCGCTCCAGCGACGCGAAGAACGCCGTCAATCTTGCAGTAGGTGGGAAACGAGGAAAGGCGGCGGTGGCCCTGCTCTCGTTTCGCAAGTGGAAGAATGGTGGCGACTGGTTCATGGGTGACGGCGACGACTCCGACGGAGGGTACTGCTGACGTTAGGGCTGTCGGTATTTTCCGATCCACCGCTGTGAGCTTCGCCACTGGATGGACGGCACCATAGGGCGTTGTGGTTCTGGCTGGCGATGGAGGGAGGCACTGGCTGCCATGGTGGCGTCATCCATGGATGCATCCCGGTCTAGCCATTGCTGTTTCTTCTTCATTGGTGCTGCAGTGGAAAAGGGGAAGAAGCCTTCATCCTCGCCACTGCAAATTTAGGCAGCCTTGGCGGGCGTTACGACTAGGCTAGGCATCGGGCAATGTCCGACTTCCTCTCCTCCTTAAAGCCGCTGGCAGTGGGCGGCGTCGGCGAACCAGGGCATCGCCGGACTAGCGTTGCGACAAGCTTTGGCGTTGCGACGTGGTGGTCCAGCGGAGGCGGGCTTGGCTTCTCGGCGAAACCATCGCTATATCACTTCCCCTTCAAGCGGCACTACTACCTTGGTGTGTCTTTCTTTCCGTGGTACGCATGGTTCGTTGGCAGAAGACTCCTGGTACGCTTGTTTTAATTCAAAAGAAATTTCCTTCATTTTTACTTACCATATATTAATATTTGCCTTATATTTAATAATTTATGTTTATATATATTAATTTTGGTAAATGGTGATTATTTGGTCTAATATTACCATATTAATATAACCTTAATTAATATAATAAATTAGTTTGGCAAATGGTAAATATTAGTAATTGCTTGTTTTGAAATAATAATGCCCTTTAGTTTTTTGCATTAAAAATTACGAATTGAGATTAATTATGACATTATTTGTGATTGAATTATTGCCACTATTAGTACCATTACAGTAATTCTTGTCAAAATTAAATTATTATTCAATTTTGAGCAAATATTAAGTTATAATTTGTTGTTTGAATTTTAATTTAATATTAAGGTGCATATATTAAGATTGGATATTATAAGTGTAAAACTTTTGATTAACTTAATATCTCAATAGGAATGTTACAATATATATCCTGACTAATGACTATTCTAAGTAAGGTAGGAATCATTTACATAATACAAAAGATACAAACGATATGTAACGGAAGATTTACAAAGATATATAAAGATATACATTAATACGCCCCCTCAAGCTGAAGGTTGGAGAGACACAACATTAAGCTTGCCACGTAAAACCTCAAAACGCGGAGCCGGAAGCGGTTTTGTAAAGATATCAGCCAGTTGATCTTTGGTGGATATGAAATTGACTAGGAAGTCCCCAGAAGCTACTTTATCACAAACAAAGTGAAAATCAATTTCAACATGCTTCGTCCGAGCATGAAAAACAGGATTAGCGCAAAGATAGGTGGCACCAAGATTATCACTTGCCAAAGAGTTGCTGGAGCACCATAATGAAGACCAAGTTCACGAAGAAGCGATACTACCCATGTGACCTCAGCGGCAACGTCCGCTAACCCTTTGTATTCAGCCTCAGTGGACGAGCGAGCAACAGTGCGTTGCTTATGCGAAACCCAGGAGATCAAGTTGTTGCCAAGAAAAACTGCATAGCCGCTAGTGGATTTGCGATCTATCGGACAGCCAGCCCAGTCGGAATCGGAGTAAGCGTGAATGTCAGAGGATGGCGAGAGAGATAGACGTAGACCATAGTCTAATGTGCCTTTAACATATCGTAACACACGTTTGAGAAGGACCCAATGATCAACTGTTGGTGCGTGCATAAATTGACAAAGACGATTTACAGCATACGAAAGATCCGGACGAGTAATAGTCAAGTACTGAAGAGCCCCTGCCAAGCGACGATATTGAGTAGGATTATCAAAAATCTCATCGGATGGAGTGACTGCTTTAGTAATAGAGGCCGGGGTTGTGAGAGGCTTGCAATAAGTCATACCAGCCCTGTTTAAAAGATCATTCATATATCTGCGCTGCGAGAGGAAACAAAGCCCTGTACTGAATAGTGTCTCAATACCCAAGAAAAAGGATGGTTGACCGAGATCCCGGATTTTAAAAGCTGTTGCTAGACGCTGGATAAAAGTGTTAATAAGTGTGGAGTCATTTCCCATCATGATAATGTCATCCACATAAACGAGTAAAAAAACACGAGCAGTCCCAGCAGAGTAATGAAAAAGAGACACATCAGTCTTGGAGGCTAAAAACCCCGTAGCAATCAAAAAATCATGAAGACGCTTAAACCAAGCACGCGGGGCTTGTTTAAGTCCATACAGAGAACGTCGAAGATGACACACATGATTAGGATGCCCAGGTTCCTCATACCCTGGTGGTTGCCGCATGTATACAGTTTCAGCTAGATGCCCATTTAGGAAGGCATTATGAACATCAAGCTGACGAAGGGTCCAATTATGAGAAACAGCAAGAGAAAACAAAAGCCGGACAGTTGTAGGTTTAACCACAGGACTAAAAGTATCAAAGAAGTCTTCCCCGGCAACCTGATTAAACCCTTTCGCTACAAGTCACGCTTTGTAGCGTTCAATAGACCCATCTGCCTTGCGTTTGGTGCTATAAACCCACTTACAACCAATGATATTCATGCCTGGTGTTGCAGGAATAAGATCCCATGTGTGATTGTGAAGCAAGGCATTAAATTCCTGGTCCATGGCATCACGCCATTGAGGATGACCAACAGCCTGGGTGTAACAACTGGGATCAGCAGTACCGTTGGTCACTGTAAGAGCATGAAACGGTTCATTAGTGCCATGTGTCATACGACGGAGACGCATCACATGAGCGCGTGGTTCTGGGTTAGCAACCCTCTGTCGCCGAGTAGGACGGGGACGATGAGTGGTTGGTGGCACGGCTTCAGAAAGAACCGGAGGATTTAAAGGGACCTCAGCGGATGATATAATTGGGCCCGAACCCCATGGCACATTATGATCAATTGACTGCACTGTATCCTGCTCTTTTAAAGCTGTAGAAAAAGGAAAAACAGTTTCGTCAAACCGTACATGACGACAGATAAAAGTCTTTCCAGTATCAAGGTTTAAACAATGATACCCTTTAAAAGACGCATGATAGCTTAAAAAAACACAAGAAGCAGACCGATACTCAATTTTGTGACGGTTGTAAGGACGTAATTAAGGATAGCATAAGCACCCAAAGACCCGAAGAAACGTGTAATCGGGAGGTTTGTTGTGCAACCGAAAATACGGGGTGTCAAATTGTATGGCTGACGAAGGGAGACGATTTATAAGATAAGTAGCAGTTTCAAAAGCAGAGTCCCAGTATTTTAATGGAACGGATCCCTGAGCCAGAAGAGCCAAATCGGTCTCAACAATGTGTCGATGCCGGCGCTCAACACGGCCGTTTTGCTCATGGGTGTAAGCACATGACTGCCGATGAACAATCCCAAGAGTATTGAATAGGCTATGCAAACGGCGATACTCGCCCCCTAAGTCAGACTGGATGACCTTGATAGAACGTGAAAACAAACGTTCTACCATGGCCCGAAACAAATCAAACACCTTATATATATCAGTTTTTACACGGAGTGGATAATACCAACAAAAACGACTGTGGTCATCCACAAATAAAACAAAATAACGAAAGCCATCTGCAGAAACAACAGGTGCAGGGCCCCAAATATCCGAATACACTAGATCAAGAACAGCACTACTAGTGTATGTTATTTTGTCTAAAGGAAAACGACTAGACTTGCCTAATTGACAAGCCGAACAAAGACTCGAAGAACTCAATTTTTGTGGTGTAACTGGGCAGGACCGAAGAGCACGTTGTAAGACACGAGCATGCGGATGGCCTAAGCAACAATGCCAAACAGCGGAGGAAGCCTGAGCTGAAAGAAAAGCCAGGTGAGACCGCGGAATGGTTAAGGAGTAAAAACCACCCGAACTGGGACCTTTAAGCAGCACCACCTTGGTTGTGCGGTCCTTCACAACAAAATATTCGGGATGAAATTCAAAAAAGACATTATTATCAGTGGTAAACCGGTGAACAGATAATAACGAAACTGAAAGATCAGGAACATGTAAAATGTTTGACAATTTTAAATTTCTAGAAACGGATGGTATCGTTGCACAACCAGTACTAGAAATACTTAGACATGTACCATTACCAATACGGAGAACGTCATTGCCGGTGTAACCCTCGGAATGTGACAGAACGGCCGGATCGGGAGTGGCATGAGAGGATGCGCCGGTGTCGGGATACCAGGTCGCAACCTCCGGCGGAGGACCACCATCGGAATGGACCGCAACATTCGCCTGCGGTGACGGCGGCTGATCGGAATATCGCTGGAAGCAGTAGATGGCCGTGTGCCCATGCGACCGGCAAATCTGACACCGGGGAGAGCCACCTCGGCCACGGCCTTGTCCGCCGCGACCACCACCGCCCGCGCGGTTCTGCCATTGGTTGTTGCGACCGCCTCCGCCAGCACGATTCTGCCGTCCGCCACCATTGTGCCGGCCACGAGTAGCCACCATAGCAGTAGGACCCGTACCATTAGGACCCGTACCAAGCAAAAAATCATCAGAATGGATGAAAGTTTGAGCTTGAAGGTAGTCCAATAATTGAGGAAGGGTGACCGGAGCACCGGATACTGCCAGGCTGGAGGCCATCGCCCGAAATTCTGGCCGGAGTCCCCTGAAGACATACAGATTCTGCTCATTAAGCGGCATCGGCCGGCCGGCTTGGGCAAGGTCTTCGACAAGCAGTTGAGCGCGGCCGAGGTACTCGGTAGTCGACATATCCCCTTGGCGAAGCGCCTGAAACTGGCCAAGGAGGTTGAGGCAGCGGATTCTCGTCGACGAGCCTAGGGCAGTTTCGATGGAGCACCAGACTTCCCGTGCGGTGGAGCGACCGACCGCAAGGTACATGACCTCCTCGGAGAGGGAGGAGATCAACAATGATAAAATGGACTGATCTTGTTGAACCCATGCGGAGAAGGCCGGATTGGCAGCCGTGGATGTGGCTTCATCAGAGACGTTCTCGCCGTCGGCTGGAGTGGAGGTGACCAGCACCGATGGACATGGTGTAGTGCCATCAACGAAGCCGAGAAGACCCTGGCCCCGGAGGAACGGAATGAGTTGAGTACGCCAAAAGAGATAATTTCGTGTTGTAAGCTTGATGGACACAAAATGGTGAGCCGTGGTGAGGTGGTTTGGGGCGGTGACCGGCGGTGTTGGAGCAGCAGTGGCGCTCATCGTCCGTTCGGATGAATTACCAGCCATCGGGAAAAAGAACGAAGAAGGATCGAAGAAGAAGGAGAGAGAAAAGGCCTAACAATCTGATACCATATAAGTGTAAATCTTTTGATTAACTTAATATCACAATAGGAATGTTACAATATATATCCTGACTAATGACTATTCTAAGTAAGGTAGGAATCATTTACATAATACAAAAGATACAAAAGATATGTAACGGAAGATTTACAAAGATATATAAAGATATACATTAATAGATATAGCATACTATTAACTCATAGCCTTCATATTAAATATCATTCAATTTTGGATCCTTAGGCTAATTTTGGACAATATAGCCTATTAAGTCAATTTGTTGGTTTCTCATTTAATTTTGAGCATACTTTAGTCCTATTTTTCACTTGGACTTTTAAACCTATTTTGAACAAGTTATTTAGGACCTGTCTGGGTCATTAAAGTATGGATTCCACCTTCTTTGATTGATATTTTAATAATAATTGTAGCACTTTTTTTTATTTGGATTATAACATATTTATTAAGTTTCAATTATTAACTAATTACCGTATTTTGTTAACGGTATTTATCGTTGGTAATAACATAAAGTTTGGATCTATTTCAACACTAGACCATTTATTTTTCATGTTATAATTAACTTGGGTCATTAAGGTTCATGGGCCTAACTTAAGCAATTTGGTGTTATAATCATTGTCTTTGTCTCATTTTGAGTTATAAAAGTGTTTAAAGATTACAATTACCATTTGAAGCCATTAAGAATTATAATTACTGTTTTAGGCCATTAAGAATTATAATTATTATTTAAGTTGATTATGTTTTTAATTTATTAATAGTTTTCAGGGCCTTAACAATAATATTAAGTTTTTTTTTTTATGTCAAGCAATGTACATAGTTGATATATTGCCTTTACAATGGTAATCTGGTTATACATTAATTTCAGTCTTCCAAGGACTCATTACAGTCATGGTTAATTATTATGTAGTAAAGTGAGATTAGTATTTGGCGTCCCTTAATCATAGTTTTGCATATATTGTAATTATTACTAATTTGCATTATTAATTACTGTTATTAAATTTAGGGGCTAATCTCATTTACTACCTTTCATAATAATTATTCATTCATGATAATCTATTATATTTGGTACATTGGTAAGATTACCCATGTCACTTCATTTTCCATTATTATTATTATTATTAATGGTAATTAAGTATTACCAATAAACTGTTACGTACCATTGGGCGTGGTACGATTCATTGAGATTACTAGCATCGATGAGTCAACTAAACTTTCCGCAGAGATGGGAGATTTTGGAGGCTTTCTTCGCTATCGGTGTTAGTGCTATAAATAGATGTAGTTTTCATCATTAAGGTACGCAAATCATTAATTACAGTTTATGAATAGATGCAGTTTGCATCATTAAGGTACGCAAATCATTAATTACAGTTTACAGTTATGGTAACTACTGTTATACCTGTTAACTGTTTTTTGAAATAGTCACATTTTTTCTTTAAGAATATGAAAATATTAAGATATGTATTACCATGTTTGTCATTATTAAATGTTAATGGTGATTATAATGCTCCTTATTACTATCAACTTTTTAATTAATGATAACATCATTTTTATGGTATTAAGTCCTGAATTGTTTTCAAATTGATTTATGTGGCATTTATTTTCGGACTTAAGTTTTATTAAATTTTAAAGCTATATCCGGGAATGTCTTAAAGGTTAACGGTTTTAGCTATTGTTTTTTTCATATTTAGTCTCCAAATTAATATAATAATATTATTAATGGCTATTTATTGCTTTTTTGGTTTATTTGTAATTTTATGCCATTAATGATACTATTAATTGAGTTTTGGAGAGTGATTTTGAATCACTTCTGAATTTTGGAAAAACATGTTTTCTAAGCATTATTGTACATCTATCCCATAATTTATTTAGTATTTGAATTATGATTTTAGATGTCATTTCCCACATTTAGTTAAGTATGAATAATTGAATACACATTTGGTGTTTTTCATACTCTTTAGATTGTTTTATGCTTTTAATCACATTAATTGCATAATATTAAGTTTAATTATGCAATTAGGATTTGTGAGATTTTTATTTACGAATAAAACATATACTATGGCCTGATATTTGTGAAT